TTTATGGGTGTAGGGTTTAGGGTCAGATACCAATACGTAAAGCAATGTTCTCGGGCTCCTTACTGAGACATGCAGGCCGCGACTACCGCGCCAAGGGAGCTTGGATCGTGCTTAAGGGCATTTTTCTGGGAGCCTGCTAAGGAACTTAATTTAAGTTACCATGTTATGAGTATATAGTAAATAATGGGTTTCCTTATTGTTGTAAAAAAGGTTCCTTACCCGCAACCCAAGTGAACCCGCTGAATGTAAGTAAGCGGAGCGGAGCAGGCGAAGTTGCACGTGGCTTGCGCATGGTCCCCATGAAGGCCTCTCCAGAAACTCCGCCAAAATCATTCAACAGAGATGGCGTTGAGTATGAGGCGGCAGGGGGCGCCCTTCGCCTTCCAGCCGCTAAGCCCTAAACCTTATCAACCCTATGAACCCTAAACCCTATAGAGCCTTAACCCCCAGATTGAGGACATGGATACCCTAGTCAAGGTGCTGGTGTTTTCAGCATCCTGCATACGCCGATCAGGACCAGCGCATGGCTTTAGAGTTTAGGGGCTTGGGGTTTAGGTTTTTTCAGTTTCAAGTTTAGGGCGTAGGGGTTTAGGTTGTAGGGCTTGGGGTCAAGTTTCAGGGTTTAAAGGTTAGGGCGTAGGGGTTAGGTTTGGGGTTCAAAGTTTAGGGCGTTGGGGTTAGGTTTGAGGGTTCAAAGTTTAGGGCGTTGGGGTTAGGTTTAGGGCTTAGAGTTTCGGTCTAGGTGTTTTAGTACAAGGGTTCAGGGTTTAGCCTGTAAGCTTCAAGATTTAGACGCCAAGTCTTTGGAGTTTAAGGGTTCAAAGCTAAGGAACTTAGGGTATGAGGCTTACAGGGGTTAGGGTTCAGAGTTTAGGTTCTGATTGAGGTTTAGGGTTGGAGTTCCCGAACTACCCTAGCCAGACCCCAAAGGCCTTCTGTACATCAGGTATGACAAGGATATTATGATGTACAGCGAATACCTGCTACACGGAGAGCATTACGGGTTTACCGGAAAATCTGGTTTAGAAAGCCTTGCCCGCGGGATGAACACTTTGGGATGTAAGACCCTAAGCCCCTATAAGGGGCAAGGACTGAGGTTCTGTTCGGCATGTGCAGAGGGGATGAGGGTCTGGATTTAGGGTTTGGGGTTTAGGGTGTCCAGCACAGCAGTGCACAGAGCAGGGCAGTACAGTCACAAAAGCCATCTGCAGCTTAAAATTCGGGTCCAAAAGCAGATATCAGGATTTCTCAAAAGGTATGTGTACCCTTTTGGGTGTTCCCGGAAAAAGTGCTATAGTGTTTTGGGATGTATATTGAGTTCCCCAATTATGGCAACATCATGTCTAAAAACAAACGTATTTCCTGGTCATCCTGCTGAGACGCAAGATCCCTAAGCCTCAAACATCCAGACCCTAAATCCCTCAACCCTGAACTCTTCTGGGAGGATCTCTTGACGTAGTATGTAAGTTTACAGAGTAACAGCGGTTATGAGGCTTGTAATAGTTTATTCGGGATAGTAGCTGGACTTAATAAGTCAGAAGATCACCCATGTAAACCCTGTACACTTGAAACCCAAAACCTTACCCGACAGGCCATACAGCATACACCTTACAATCCAAACGCCAGAGCCCGGAAGGACTTTACTAGGTACACCAGTAGTTTTACCCTTTTCCCTTTTTATTTTCGTGTCTGCTTATTAAAACTGAACAGCAGGAAAAAGGGTACCGCCATTGTTAAGGGGGTTACTGTGGAACCTAGTTCAGGGTTCAGGGAGATTAGCTATTTGTTGCATGTTGCCTAGGCTCCTGCAGTCGCCATGCTTCTAATCAGGAACCCTATGCCATAAAGCTTGAATTGCTGCATTACCTAGCAATTCCACTTATATATATATATATCTCTCTCTCTCTCTCTCTCTCTCTGTAACCCTAAGCCCTAAAACCCTAAATGTCCCTAAACCCAAATACTTTAGGGTTTAGGGCACCACTCAACCCTAAGCCGTTTTGAGGGACTGGAGTTGGTAAAGCATGATTTAAGGTTTAGGGTGCAGGGTTCAGGGGATCTCCAAGCGAGGATTTCTGTAATCTCCATATGTCCCTTGGGTCCCTAGGGGCCCTGCATTTTGAGAAGCCATCCATATTCCCTTAGCAAGCTGGTTCTGACCCTTGTGTCACTCTTGGTAAGTGGGTTCCTTCAGTCGCTTTGCAACTTCGTGGTCAGAGTAAGTCCTGTATACAGACAACACCCTAAATACCTAAACCCCAAACCCTAGATGATCATCCCTAAACCTGAAAATTGTAAACCTAAATTTCTCACGGTCTTTTGGTGTCAGGATATACCTAAACCCCAAAAGTATGTAAAATAATAGCCCTAAACCCATAATAATAGCCATAAAGGCCATCATTTTACATACTTTTGGGGTCCAGGTAGACATAATACGGTCCCCAATGTCCCGCAGAGCTAAGGACATGTCCGACATCTTGAGCAAGACCTTCCGGGCTCCCGGGCGGCTTCAGGGGCAATTGCCAGGGCTAGGGATAGGGGGGTTTTAGGGTTTAGTTAGGGGTTGGGGGCTTTTGGGTGGATTCTACAAGGGTGTATGCCCTAGCGTTTGCAGGGCATTCATAGGGGTTTAGGGTTGAGTTTAGGGTCTATAGAGCAATTGGATTCGATACTAAGGGGGGTCCCCTACATCTGCCTTGAGTCTTTTGTTTAGGGTTTAGTGTTCAGGGTTTAGGGTTTTATGTTTAGGGTTTAGGGTTTACAGGATTTGAGACCCCTGCGCAATGAATTGAAAGAGACCATCCCGGGGCACGGGCTTCGCCCAGGAGGGGTTGTAGAACCCCTCAAACCCCGGAGATGAAGAAGAAGCAGAAAACGAGACCATCCTAATAGTTCGGAACTTATTTCTTCCAGCGCGACCTAGAGAGCAGGACCATTCAAAGCCATCTTGAGGGAGCTCCCTTTCTATATCATGTAGTGAGGTCATAGAAATCCTCACAAGAGAGAGGGAGAGAGAGATCCTGCACGATCCTAACTACCCAACATGTTGGGGACCCTAAACCCTAAACTGAGTTGCTGTTAAGGAACTCAGATTAAGTTACCATACTGGGTGAGGGCTGTTTTGGTTTGCCGGAGTTCATAACATCAGTTCCCAGTGTTGGCTTCCTGGCGCGCGAAAGATGCGCGAAATCGCGGCGAAAGGTCGGCGAAAGGTCTTGCCATAGGGGTCATCTGAACGGTCATTTTGAATTGCTGAGATGAGCCTTACGAGGATTTTGGCCATGTCTTCTCTTAGCACAAGGCCCCCACACCCACGACATGTTCTTCTGAAGGAGATTGTATGCATCATTTAGAAGAAAACCACAATTTGTCAAAACATAGTCTTACTTGGCGCGCGAAAGACCGCGAAGGCTCCGCGAAAGGCGCGGCGTAAGGTTAGCACAGACCTGATATGGTTTCACGTATAGTAACTTAATTTAAGTTCCTTAACAGCAACCCTGAAAATCATTGTATTGCAGCATGCTCACGTCATGCAGTCTTTGTAGCCTCAAAAGCTTTTAACTTGCCGGCAAAAGGTTAGGGTTTCGGGCTCGGCTTTTTGTAAATAGGATCCTCAACCCTGATTCCTAAATCCTGAACCCTAAGTCCTCAAGCTTAAGCCCTAAACCCTAAACCCTGTTGAAATCTCATCCCTCTGCCCGAACTCTGAAACCTTCTAAGCGCTGAGGATTGCACCCCTGACCCTGTCTCAAAGCCTGGACTCCAACCCAGAAACTCCAATATTCTTTAATTAGGGAGTATACCTTGAGTACTGCCCCTAACAGTTGGATACTATTTATATTGTAGTTATGTAGCCCTCATTATGACCCCTAATACTGACTGTTACAGGGGCGGAGCAGTACCCAAAATATACCTCAAGACAGATTAGGGTTCCTTGCGTAATTTACGGCATGTTCCATAATTAAACCCTAAACCCTCAGGGATAGTAGACTTTCTGGGAAACTCTCAGCCGCCAAGCCTAGATCCTAAGCCTTTGGCCCGAAACCCTTTGCCCTAAAACCCGAAGGTCAAAACTCTGAACTTCAAACCCTTAAAACCCGAAGCTCTAAACACCAAACTTTGAACCCTAAGAGCCGAAGCTCTAAACATTAAGCTTCAAAATTAAAAGCCTGCAGCTCCAAACCCTAAACTTTGAACCCTCAAAGCTCCAAACCCTGGATCCGCATCTTTAAAGCCTAAAACCATAAACCGCAAATCCTAAAGCTTAAATCCCAAAGACCCTAAACTCTAAAACCTAATTGAAGTATTTGGATAAAAGACTACAAAAGGGCCTGGACCAGCTGCGGCCGCTGCTGCTGGAAGTCTTGGATCACTATAGGCCCCTTGCCGTGCCACTGTGGCAGCAAAGATTTTCAATTAGGGTTTAGGGTTTAGGGTTTAGGTTTTAGGGTTTAGGGTCCAAAAAGGGGCGTTATAGGGATTATATAGGGGTCATATAGGAATGTTCAGGATTTAGGGCTTAGGTGTATAGTGTGTATGTGTGTGCACATCACGCAGGGTATGTGGACATACACATATATATATATATGAAGAGAATGCGGTTTAGGGTTTACAGGGCTTGGGGTTTAGGGTATGGGGTTCTAAAACAATTGGGTTGATGTTCTTACGAGGTTAGAAATGTATCGACATATAAACATGAATGCACAGATAATTACATAGGAACACAGTGGCCTACATGCACATCTGTACACGCGTATGTACCTAGATATTTCCATAGTGGTACATATACGTATACATATATATACATAAGTCTATATGAACTCCTACCCTACCCTACATGCTTCGAACATCAAACCTTGGAACCTTAAATGGGGCTTTCCCAAAAACAGGGGTACCTTATTGGGGGTCCCCATAATGAGGACTATAGTATATTGGGGTCTAAATTGGGGGGGTCCCTAATTTTGGAAAACTACCAAATCCGAAACCTTGAGTTAACAACGTTTCAGGGTTGTGATCGGCGACGAGAGCGCCGGGAAGTCAACGCTCCTCGAGATGCTGATAGGGAAGCCTATTTTGGCGCGCAAGCCACTGGGACTTGTAAGAGCTTGGAGTTCAGGGTCTAGGCGTGCAGTTTTGCAAGCTGATCACTCCCTACCATAACAGAATTCCCGCACCCCATAGTAAACATTCCTAATGCAGTTCTGCAATAGAGTGGCGGATTCTTTGTTGCCAGGGCATCGAGGGAGTGTTGCTTTTATAGGATGTGAGAAATAAGGTTTCGAACCTCTTGTAGCTAATTTGAATACAAGGGTTTCAAAAAAGGCCACCGTTCCCAGGAAAAAAAACATGCACCCTGAAGCAGGCTGGTAAGTTATCATGGCTTGAGGGTACTAGTAGTACTTCAAATGCCAGTAACAATAATAGTAGTACTAATAGTATGAATGATAATAACAATAATAGCACGACCTATTCTTCTTTTATTGCTGTTGTTTCCTAAACCCTAAACCCCTAAACCCTAAACCCTACACCCTACACCCTACACCCTAAACCCTATTCTTCTGTTGTTGCTGTTGTTTCTTGTGCTCCTTTTTGGGCCCAGGCGGTGTGGTGCTCAAAGTGCGGTTGAGACGATGGCCCAAGGATAATTGGGTTGTGGAGTGCTATCAGTCAGCAGGGTTTTAGGGTTTTAGGGTTTAGGGTTCTAGGGTTTAGGGTTTAGGGTTTAGGGTTTTAGGGTTTAGGGTTTAGGGTTTAGGGTTTTAGGGTTTAGGGTTTAGGGGGAATGGAGGAAGAGATTTGCATAGTCTCAATATAATTGGGTTTGGGGTTTAGGGTTATATTCCTCAACAACAATAGTCTATAAAAGCCATTCCTTCATTCCCTACGAGCCAGCCTGCATCTACTTTAAACAAAACTACAGATTCCATTTCCCTGCCTTCGTTCCTTACTAACCGCCTGCAAGACTGGATTCCCTTTCCACTCTGGCTATACCAAGTCTCTACATTCCCCTTAATTGGCCTTTACCAGCCCCAGCTGTACACGACTAACCTTGTCTTAGAGGGAAGCCGAGGAACAGAGTGGTACGGCAACCCGTGATTTTGGGGCTCCGGTTTGGCGTTACGGAGCTGCCCCCAGGGCATTTCACTAGCAACGCAAAAGCCTCGACCTTGAACCTACTGTCCTCTGCCCGGTTGTTAGGGGTTCCTACTAATTTAGTAGGGAGGCTAAAAGTTTACCTTATAGGGGGTGTTCCAAAGACAGCTCAGAACTCAAAACCCAAAACCCTAAGCCCACACCTCCGGAGCCCTCGGGCGCAGTTGCTAGAAGTCATGGCCTTCATGCCATAAGCTCTTTTCCGATTTGGGTGACGTGAAATTTTCACCCTAGCCAAAGTCTAAACTCCTTAAAGGACTTGCATAAGGGATTATTTGGGGGACTACGTACGATAGGGGTTGTTAAAGGGGATACAAGGAGTTCAGGCCCTAAATCCTGAACCCCCCTTCTATTATAGGGGTTATGAAGGGGGATGTGGCTCCCTGAAGCTTGGGTGACTGGGATCTAAAGTTTTCTCCCTTTGCAGCTGCCAACAAGAAGGAATCCATTTCTGCCCATGTGAAACTGGGTAACTGTTAAGGAACTTGAATTAAGTTACCATAATGGGTTTATAAGGTATATATAGCAATTACTATGGTGTCCCTTATTTAGTAACTTAGACTAAGTTCCTTAACAGCAACCCCGGATAAGACATCTGCCAACCGGGGCGTAGTTTATCAGTGGTTTGTTTTCAGGCTTCCCCAGGCCCAACTTGCAACTCTACTTGGGGGGTCATGGGGACTTGGTAAGTAGGTTAACAACCCCTATAAGCCACATAATAACACCAAATGTCTCCATGATTAACCTAATTCCTAAGTCCCCATCCATGACCCTCCAATCCTAAACCCTAAACCCTATAGTAGTTTCCATGTTCTTTTCCATTACTAAAAGGGGACTGTATACCTTAAAACATAGACCCTGAAGACAGCTTCTCACTCGCTCAGATCCGCAGTTTCTATTTCTGAGGGCCGAGGGCCTCCTCCTGACCAGGTGGAAACTTCCAACTATGCCGTGCCCCAGTTGGGAACCGTTTCGGTAAAAGCATCAGGCCAATCATGATATAAGCTAAAGTCCAAACTCCTTAACGGGAGGTTCTATATAGGGGATTATATAGTGGACTAGTATAGGGGCTATTAAGCGGGATACTAGGGGTTTAGACGATGGCCCGTATAGCGACCCCTACCCTTGAAATCCCTACACCAAAACTCTGCGCTCGAAGCCATGAGCGTTCACTCTTTCTTGAAGGATCACTTGACTCAGTAAGTCTACGTAGTAGCCGGGGTTCTGAGGATTGTAGTAGGGTTTATTGGCGATAGTAGCTAGACTTACTATGTCAAAAGATCATCCCCGTACAGAATTCCATTCACGGATCCCCATAATCCTTAATTGTGCCCTGAAAAGGTCATCCAAGTAGTCTCAGAAATTTCCTAGACCCTAAAGCCAGTTTCGGCCCCAGGCGTCGCTTCTGCACGAAGCTGGAAATACGCGTCTGCCTGCGACGTAATCCGGACGTGTGCAAAACCACCTTGTTAGTGTACACGGCGCTGCGGCATGCAGTTGGAGGGGTTTAGGGTGTAGGGTACAAGGTTTAGGGTTTGGAGTCTAGGGTTTAGAGTATAGAGCTTTCGGCTATTTAGTGGGGCTCGCATCTGGAGGCTTGACCAGTCTAGTGGTCCCTGCTTTGGGGAGATTTTTGCGGCATGAGTGCTCTAAGCTTTGGGTGTAGACGTGTTGTTCATGGCTAAAGCCTTACGCTAATCCTTGAGCCGTAAACCCTGAACCCGAAACGCAACCCCTGAACCCCAAGCCCCGGACCTTCCAGGGTTTCTTCAGACCGTCCCAGGACCATCTTACTTGGGTTCGCCCTGCGTTCTTCGTCAACTTTTAACTTGAATAAGGTTTATTACCATTACTTGGGGTCTGGTGGGAAGGGTCATTTTGAGGTTATGTTGTTGAGATTAAGGAAATTTGAGAACCCTGAACAATGGCAAGTTTATATGGGCTTGTTTAGGGGCTTGGGTCTAGGGTTTAGGATTCAGGGTTTATGGTTTCCGTAAACCCTGAACCCTAAACCTACGAGTAGCTACAAAGCAGTACTCGTAGAAACCCAGGACCCAAATACAGGAACCCAAGTATGCATTCTACAGATACCTGGACCCTGTGCCAATTGTAACCTGACCATGGCATCGGGGATTTCTGCTATAGCTTTGGAGTATGGGGTGTGGAGAGCAATAATACCAGACCCCTCTTGCCCTTAATGTTTCGTTTGGGCGATTTTTTTTTATATTGCTCCCCCTGGGTTTTGTTTGTTGACAATCCCCTCCCACCGCCCCTAACGAAAACAAGTCCAGATATGGCGCAATTAAATAGGGCAGGATATAATTGGGGTATTGTCATGGTTCGTCGGAGGGATTATCATGTTTAAAGGGTAACGCGAAGTAAAGGTACGGCTCGAGCACCAGACTCACGCTGGAGCCTACACCCTACCGCGTTGACCTGCCCAAACCAGATGCGAGTGAAATAGTGTCCAAGCTAGGTAGGCCTTTTCCGAAGCACCAATCTTATACATATATATATATATAGCAGTTATCGGAGACCATATGATGTTACTTGCTCATAAGTGGGGTTCTCCCTGCCTAGGGTTCCAGAGCCTGTAGCCCAGGGCACAGGCGCAATAGACTGGTTTCTGCCTCCACCCCGGGGCTGTGGCCCAGTATTGCTCTTGTAGTATGATTTTGCTTTTCATCAGGGCTACAGTATATGATTGTGAGTACTGTGTCCTGAATAAGAGCACAACATGTCTCAGTTATGGGTTGCAGGTAGTATACAGATAAAACGTGTCAAACGCTCACCTCCCCCGCTTCTGATATTGAATATGCCTCCCAATATTGTACAAGCCAAAGTCCCGTGTAGGAAAGATTGTTTCATATGGGAGGGCTAGTGTTATAAGGAAGCAATTGTCCCCAGGGCAGAATGACGCATGCATTGTTTGTCGGCTTGTATTTGTGGACGCGAAGGGGTTAATCTTTACAAGATTGGCCTCTGGGTCCTGACACCTACATACCTTGAGGTTCATGGAATTTCTAAGCAGGACTATAGGTTTCATGGGTAGTCATCCTGGCTTTCGCCTCGTTTCTCATTGCATGAACATTCAGTAACCCCGAGCACAATTCTTGGACATATTCTTTTCGCAGGCATGAACAGGTTGAGGGAAATCTCAAGTAGGCTGTCTCCCTGTAATGCTTCTGGGGTTAATACGGACCCCAGTAGAGTCACCCTAGAGTAAAGCTATACCCTGTTTTTGCACATGCTCTTTCCAAAGAACGACATACTCTTACGTGGTTCAACCACATAAATCTCACCCCTCGCAGAACCCTAGGACTCCCGAGTTTCCATGTCATGTTCCATAATCCGATATATCCCTCTAGAACCCTTATAGCACTAAGCCCTAAAACCTAGGCCCCTAAACTCTAAACCCCTCAACCCTAAACCCGAAACCTAAACCCTAAAACCTAAACCCTTGAAACTTAAATCCTAAACCCTTAGCCCTTATAATCCTAAATCCCAAAAGCACCTATGGAATCCCAGGATCTGCAGGGGGCGCCCCATTTATTTTGAAAACACGCCCATGTGCTGCTTGAGCTATAGTCTAAACCTCTTTTTAAGCGGGGTTTAGGGTTTAGAGTTTAGGGTTGGGCCCCAAAAAAGTATGTAGAATTATAGCCTTTTGGGCTGTTTTTAAGTGTTTAGGGCTATTATTTTACATACTTTTGGGGTTTAGGTAGTCTAAACCTCTTTAAAAGGGGGGTCATATGGGGGGGTTATAGAGGGGTGTATTTTAGGGGGTTATTGAGGGCCTAAATCCTAAACTCTATGGCTTGAGCGGTTTAGACTGTGGCTCGCTTGTCTCAGGTGCGGGATGGCAAGGAGGTGCCTGATGGAGAGCCGAGGGAGGTTCCCCAGGCTTGGGATGGGAGTTTAGGGTTTAGGGT